CCAGGGGAAGAAAGATACAGCTGGGAACTTTAGTAGAGTGTAGATTTATGGGACTAAACTTCTGGCCTATGATTCAGAGGAAAACAGACAAAAACCTTGCTGAAACCACATGAGTTTCATTTACCAAGCATGTCTAAATTAAAAAGTTAACAACAAAAACAACAACAAAAGTGGACACATTTGTGTCCAGATTTTTGATTTTGTGAAGATCTTCTCTTTGGTCTTTCCCTGGAATTATTATATCAAACTGTATGGGATGGGGGAAAAATCATTTCAAAACTTTCATTTTAAATACTAAGAAAATATAGGTTTTTCAGTTCTGAAAATAAGCAATATAACATCCTGGTTCCAAAAACATCAGATATCATGTCAACCTGAATTCTGTTATTGACATTTACATTTTTTTCCCATTTCAGTTGTTACTCAAATATAATATATATGTATTTTTAATCATCTTACCAAAATAATAGAAAGCTTTCTGCTGTGTGCAGAGAGACAAAACTAAAAAATATCTTTAACTCAAGAGCCCCAAAGAAGCCATTTGCTCAGAAAGCACACTATCTGGACCTCAGTTAAGAAATGAACAGTTGAAGTAGATACTGAAAGATTTTTTTCTGGATATCATACGAATATGATGATGTCAATACATGCGTATCAATGACAAGATGTAGGTACTATATAAAAACACTTCAAAACATAAAAAGCATTTTTATTTTTTTTTAGCTCATTTTAAGATACAGATGCTGATGCGTGATGATGTAACTGATGTTGTATTGTTTAGTTAATTAAAATAGATTCTTTTCAAAACTAAAAAGCCATGCAGATTTGTTTACAATGGTTCATTCAAAAAAAATAATTGTTTTATTTGTTTTATGTCAAAATAAAAGTGTGAACATTTAGTGACTTGTAAAAATTTTGGTTTTGTTTCTGTATGAACAATTTTAAAATAAAACAAACAAAAATACTTTATGTAATAGATTCCCTTCAAGTGTATTACTTTCATCCATTCCTTCACTCATTTCCTCTTCTCATTTACTTTTCAAGATTTCCTTCAAGTTTATTTTAAAATATATGGTCTATTTAATGCACTGATCTGAAGTTTAACCACACAGAAGATTTTTTATTCTGTTTCTTTGTAACAGGCAGTGTTCATAAAGAAAGAGCAACCATCTTCACAACACGGTTTACATTATTTAATGTATTTTTTATATATACTCTTATATATATATATATATATATATATATATATATATATATATATATATATATATATATATATATTGTATATAATATATATATTCAATATTCATTTTATTTCTTTAACTAGGCTATTCCATAATAGTCCTTTATTTGCAGTAATAGATGTAATTATTCTGCCTTGCACCAGAACACTTCTGATGGCTCCTCAGAGGGAAAGAAATAGAAAGGTGAAGATTTTTTTCTAGTCTAATGTTTTTCAGTTGTCTAGTTGCCTTTGAGCAATGGTAACATACGTGATTATATCAAAACAAAGTAGAACTGAAAACCATTTTATATCCTTTTAAATACACAACATTTTAAAGGCATTTTTAACCCCAATATTTTATAGGACTGGGTTATAAGAAGGAACCTATTTTATCATTATTACAAGGGTCTTTGAACAGAGCAACTATTGGAAACTGTTCAGTGTCTACAGTCTACAGGACTGAAATATTTTTAAAAAGACATTATATATACTATATATATATATATATATATATATATATATATATATATATATATAATATTATATATAAAGTACTTTATAGACAAAATCCTTTTTAAATGAAGAAAGTATCTGTTTCCAGACTCCATTTCTTAGAAAATTTTCAAAGGCATATAAAATATGTTAATGAAATTTATTATATATTAATGGAGATATCATGGAGTTTCATATTTTTCTGATTGATAAAGTAAATATTCAAAGCAGGTGTTAAATGTCAGCCATTTGGCAGGACAGAACAGAATTATTTTATCAATTAAATTTTGGTATCTCAGTTTTAATTTCTCTGGAAAAATACATAGTTTTTATTTTGAAAGGAAGTTTGGCATTTTATTTTCTGATAATCTAAACCTGTTCTTTTAGGCATTTTGTCAAAGTTAAACCTTTTTTAAGAGTTTACTTGAAAGAACATTTATTTTATTATTTTTTTTCACTCCATAAGTGCAGTCTAGGATTAACCAAGTGAATGACAATGTCAGAAACATTATCAGATGTCTATTGTTGACATAATAGCTTTACTTTGTAATCTGAATTTTGTATAACAGCATGTTTATTCTAATGACATCTCTGCTGGTTAGAAATAATAATCTGCAAAATACTGGACTTTTTTTTTTTTTTTTTTTTTTTTACTGTTTGGAGTATGGTACTATACAAGTGAGACTGTAGCAGTAGCAGCAGGTTTTGTTCAAATATAAACACAGATACTATTTTTGTGATCACTACTTCTGGAGATATTTGAATCCAGTGCTCTGGGCACAGTGGAACATTTTAACAAAATAAGACTTTGTTACTGGAAGCGCTGTTATGGGTGTACCTTTGCAGTCCCTGGCACACTCCCCTCAACGTCCAACCAACAGATTTCACAACTCACAACCTATTGCAGAATGGAGAAGCTAAGAAAAAAAAAAAAATTTATAGGCTACTATGTTAGAGTTTTTCATTATCATTAGTATGATGTGTGTATTCAGAACTATTTCAGGAGTTGGACTTGATTATCCTTAGGGGTCCCCTCCAACTCGGGATATTCTATATTGATTCATCTTTTTGATTGATTTCATCTTTTTTATAGATTGAATCATATTGATTCAATCTATATGATTCATCTTTTGTTTTCTGATTTGCACTGCCATTGGAACTAAAGCTTATATCTTTATAACTTGTCATTGTTAAAAGAATGTAAATTAGTACAATTTTAGTACATATTTGGTTAAAAGGTATGTAGTATGTATGCATAAGCATACTACTGTACTTTGATATTTGAATCAAAATAACACATTTTCCTGTTCACTTTCCCTTTTTCCGCTTAGATTGCCAGAAATGTCTTTTAGTTGTTACTTGCAACAGTTTAAAGTAAACTGCATCCATAGAGTCTTGTGTCTGAACAGGTCTTCATTTAGGTTTATCTTTCTGATTTCTAAATGTTTTGTTCAGATTTTTTTTTTATGAATGATCTCATGTCTGCAACGTAATAACTTAAAAGAAAGAAACTTCATTTTCCCTTTTTGGCTTCCTTCCTCCCATTAGAACTTAATCTCTTGTCTACTGAAAATATCTTGAGGTATTATCAGGATATGATTGTGAACAGTAAATATCTTCAGAACAAAAAGACATTTGTGAAACAAGTAAAATACCAATTTCTCACTAGGTCTGAAGGCAGTATAGCTTCAAAGCTTAAGGGTTTATGTCAAATGATTCTTAGAGTGCACTGCAAATTTGATTGGAAGGATAGTGTATTCTCACAAAACACATAAAAGGAAAGGGAAAATGAAACTCATTAATTGAGGTAATAAAGTTTTATGTTCAAGCAGTGAGGTGGCAAAAATTAATACCACTCTGTCAAATGGAAAGGAACTGTGACAACTGAAATGAAATTGAAGATATACCTCAAGTGATTTCAATGTCTGTAGGAGATTGCTTTTATGTTTGCGGAAAGGAAAAATTAAAGATTCTCTCAGGAGCCAGACACAGATGATCTACTCCCAGTATTGCTCATACCTTCGACCCATTGCATCCTTTGCTGTATAGTAAAACAAAATTCATTCTCCTAGCTGGAGAACTTGTTTCTTTTAGTACTGGAGTTAGTCTTTGGTCTAAAATCCAAGTCCTAAATTCATAACACCAACAGTAAAATTCCAAGCATGCTCATGTATAGGTTTACAACTGGAGGGTTATAGTAACTTTACTTTTCCTATAAAAACACATTTTGTAGTATCTTTAACACACAAAAATAAGGATTAGCAGCCAACATTTTAACATAACATAACATAACATAACATAACATAACATAACATAACATAACATAACATAACATAACATCTCTTGGAAATAAGTATTATATAAATTACAGTAACGATGTATTTCCCTACCAATGCCATGACAACTTCTTAACATACCTGACATACCTGACATATCACTTTGCTTCTAGCCTGTGTCTATTTAACAGATATTAGCATGTTCATATCTGCCCAGACTATGACATTGGGTGATTGGATTCTGACCACGCTTTTTACTGAGATTTTTCCCAATATTGGGAAAACAATACAAAAGGTAAACAAGAAAAATACTTCAGTTTCAAAGCTCATTAATTATGATATTTGAAAGAGTGACATGAATTGTGTATTATCTTTATGTCCTCTTCTACAGTTAAAGCAAGCAAGCAAGTAAACAAACAAACAAAACATTTCCAAATAATAGAGAAGGGAGACACTTCTTGTGGAAAATAATAATAATAATAAGCAATTAACAAGTAAGCTAAAAATACAAACACTTTTCCATATGATCTTTAAATATGAAAGATATACATCAAGAAAAAGCCACCAGTAAGTGTATTTTACCACCTTTTTTTGTTTGTTTGTTTGTTTGTTTGTTTGTTTGTGAGAGGAGTTCATCTCCTTTGGGGATATTTTTCTAGAGGAAAGTTACTTTTCAACAAAACCACCCAGGATATTTTCCCCTTTATACAATTTTAGGAGGTCATGAGAAATATAGATGCTTAAATATTTGATATTAACTTACTAAAAAATTAATATTGATATTTATACACACTGAAAATGATTTTAATTAGGCAAAGCTCCTGCTGAAATCAATGTGAAACCTGAATAAACATTGTGGGACATAGTAAATAGCCCTCATTGGCAGAGGTTTACTATTTTTAAAATTTATGGATAATGGAGACATTTAAAAAAAAAAAAAAAACAAAAGCAAGAAAATACAGACAAAGTATAATTATAGTAGTAATAGTAATAAAAAAAACCCTTACTCTTCTCCAAGGCACATCCTGTTGCTGTATCTCAGGACAGAGATCTAAAATAAGAAAAAATATTGTTTGATATTAGTGGCAGTTAGAGGAATTGTCAAATACTAGGTTTTAATGCATACAGAGGTTTCTATTTGTTGTTAGGAATAGTCAGAATTAATACTCAAACACTGCAGTATCTATAAAAAACAGAAAGGAAAAAATAGTGAAAAAAATGTGGAAATTCACCTTTGTAAGTCTTTATTTCCTAATTGTATCTGAAGCTGATGTGACTAAATTTTATTTTTATTTTTTATTTTTAATATTTTAATTATAATTTGCATTAATTTAATGTTTATGTGGTCATATGTGAAAGTTTAAAATTATTCACAATTCAGTGTACTATTGGTCTCCCTTTCAAAATGTCTATCTTCGTAATTCTTTAATCATTATGTAGGTATGCATTCATTTACAGATTTTAATGACATTTAAGGACCAACTCAAATAAAAAGGTTATAATGTAAAGCATTAAAATGCAATGTTTGCATAAGACATTCTATGGAATATTATGTTGCCTCTTTATTTTATTTTATTTTATTTTATTTTATTTTATTTTATTTTATTTTATTTTATTTTATTTTATTTTGTTTTGTTTTGTTTTGTTTTGTTTTGTTTTGTTTTGTTTTGTTTTGTTTTGTTTTGTTTTGTTTTGTTTTATGTTATTTATTTTATTTTATTTATCTTAGTTTTAAGTTGAACTCAAGTAATAAGAATTAGATGGTAGTCTATCAACATCAACATCAGTGTTCCTACATCTGAGTTCTTGATGGTATTGCAATAACACGTACTTTTTGGGTATAATTTTAACATTCCATTTCAGGACCGCAATAGTTCAAAAGGATGAAATTTTAACCAGACTTGAGAATGGGCACTTTATTCACAAGTGGTTTGGCCACATATTGTATTTATATTATGATCTCTAATTTACACATCCTAAGATCTTCATGAATTCAGGAGGTGTAAATGTTCAAAAGCTTGGGAACTTCCTGAGACTCCTTCCTGTTGGTACAGGTGTTTAAGCACAACTAATGTGAAACCTATCTATATGCAATATTCACATAAATATTCCAAATCCTTCTACTCAGAAAATCTTAAGTTTGAAATTATGGGTCTGCAAGGCATAAAATTAATTAGAAATATTATCTGGAAGCTGAAATCTACCATACCAGTAACATAAAGATTTCATTTTAACTGTGCAGTAGTTAGAAATGTTTAATCTTAAATGTCCAAACAGGGGAAAATTGATTGATTCCAGGAAGGATTTATTTATTTATGTATTTATGTATGTATATATTTATTTATGTATTTATGTATGTATTTATTTATTTATGTATTTATTTATTTGGGGGGGGGGGGGAAGTAGAGGAAGACATTTAAGCAATTTGGCCATGTAAATAATGAATATTTGGTACTGATCTGGGATCAATATTTTTCAAATGTATTATTGGAAATACTGGCAAGTGTTCAGAAAGCAAATAAAAGTTGAATAAGAGTAAAAATTTCAGTCAAGAGTTCCATCAGAAATAACATATGGCCAATTCATGATACGGATGACGACACTGCTTATTACTGGTCTATATGTGGGCCTGTTGACATAAACAGTTATTGAAAATTTTAGTCCCTTTGCCACAAAAAAAAAAAAAGGCAAACAAATGAAAAATAGGAACATACACACAACCATCCAAACAAAAATCAACCAAAGAAAAACAAAACAAACAAACAAATAAATGCCACAAGACTGTTGCCAGCCTGGCTGTCTGGCTGTTTTTTTAATAATAATACTCCATCAGGGCTGGAGGGAGACTTATTGTGAACGGCAACAGTCTACCCCATGACTCCTCCAACTGTGTTGCAGAAGAGTGCAGGTGTCACAGTAGGGCAGTGGGACGTGAAGGCTCAGACCAGTCAAAACATCTCAGCAGCAGGGAGGTCAGTCCTATTAGGAGCTTTACCTTTGGTAGGATTTTAAATATACACCAAGCATGCAGTCTTGAATCATTCACCTCATGGGGATGGCCCCTCACTCAGGTGTTGTCTGTTTGGCAGCCGAGTGTCATTTCCTCATGGAACAGTTACTTATTTCTGTTACTTCTTTCTGCCACTCTTCCTACTCCATTGTTCAAAATACCAAATTTTTTATTATGTTCATTTATCATTTATGATCAGAGATATTGGAAAATGGTCCTTTCAAATAAGTTAGTAATTGGCTTTCGATAATAGTCCTACCTCCACTGTCTTTCTGTCCATTTTCCTAGACTTGTAACCAAATAATGGATTACTCAAGGGGTTAAAGTTTACAAGAATTACAGAAATAAATCGTTTCAGGAACTAATCAGTTATTCCAGTTAGTGTCAGGAACTGAAACAAAACAGAACAAACAAACAAACAAAAATAAACAGAAGTCAAAGCTATGATTTGAAGTTCTGTTGATCATTTAAGAAAAACAATTCTTTATTGATAACAACTGAGAGACCTACTTTATATTTGGTGCATTTTATCTCATACTTCAAAATTAAAAATGTGATGCCATGCCTAGATAAATGTTAAGGACATCAGCAGATATTCTCAGATTTATTATGGAGACGTCTTAATCAAGAGTATCTGATCCTTCTTTAGGGACTTGCACTAATGGGATACTTATGATTCAGCTATTGCAGTTCTGATGATGAGTGTACGAATGTTGACACCATGGATGTAAAGCCATTGACTAAACATTAACTTCATTTATGGAATGGTATTTCTTAATAAAGTTGCAGCTGGAGGCCTTTAAACTAGATTTGACTGTTGCATATTTACTTGTGCCAACTGTGCAGTAGCAGTCAGTATTATGAAATATTCACTGTCTGAGGCAAATGGTAATGACATGGAAAGAATCTCTATCAAAATTAAACCACTCTTGAAAATAGACTCAATTACTGTCAAAAGGCTTAAAGTGTTTAGCCTTTAACATATGAATATTTGTCTGATACTGATTTATTAGGAATTACAAGCTAAGAAAATATGGTATTTTAGTTTTTTGATTGCCTTCACGGATCTTATTCACAAAGGCCAGTTAACTAGGGAATACCTGGTTCATTGCAAAAAGCTTGTCAATTACAGGCAAATGCACAAAAAGGAAAAACAACAAGATTCAAAGTAGGGTCAGTAAACTGAAGTAAAATTATTTTGTGTACCAAAATCATTCTACTAGCAGGGAATGAGACAAAAAAAAATGGTAAAAAGAGATAAAATACACAGCTTATACACACAGGTTATAAACACCTACATAATGAAAATAAATAGAAAAGTGTTAAAAGAAAATCAGTAAATATAAAAGCATTTTCCAAAGCATGGGTGCATATATACATTATTAATTCACACTAGGAAAAAAAAAAAAAAAAGAGGAATAAGAAAAAGGATAAGGAAAAGAAAAATAAAAAGAAAAAAAATAAAAAAAAAAAAAAAAAAGAGAGAGAAAGAGAGAGAGAGAAAGATGCATGCAAAATGCTCTCTTGAAATGCCATCCTGAAATCCTCACTGTATCATGGTTAATCTCGAATCTGTGTAAGTGACTTTTCTTGTGTAACCCAATACACAGGCAATCAGAATTTGATTACTTAAATACTGTCAAGCTGGGCTTTGAATCAGATTGACGAATGAGTTTCTTGTAGTCACAACATATCTCCAAAATTCTATTCATACTAAATAATAATTTTCAATTACTAGATCTCTGGTAATATATATTAAAAAAAAAAAAAAAAAAAAAAAAAAAAAAAAGAGTTGCATTATCTTTCTCTCCTAAGTACTTATTTATTTTTTAATATAAATATTTAAAATTCAGTATTTTTTATTTTTTTTTATCTTCAGTTTTCTATCAGAAGTTCAGCACAAAATAAACGTTATAAAGTTTTATTATAGGTTTATAAAATACTGTGTGTTTTCCATTTTTACTCCTATAAAAAGATCAAAACATTGAGAAGGCTTGTCAGTATCATATCTTACCTAAAAGAATAAGAAAAAGCCTAAGACTCACTTAGCCACAAGTGAATATTCTCCAGGAGAAAATAAACAAAGTAACATAAGCTGCATTCAGTATCCTGCATTCAGTTTCATGTTTTCTAATAGTCTTGAAATTAGTAAGAGCTATAACTCTTTTAACTCGAAGGAATGTTTTACTTCTTTGTCTTCTGCCTCAGAAATACTCAACAGTTGTTCATTGTCTAATTCTAATGTTTCACATTTTCGTCAGGTCCATAAGAATGTTACTAGTGTTTTCATTCACTACCTTTGTTAGTATAATTTTTCAGAAAAGTAATACTGTTTTGCTATTTCAGCCTCATGTAAGCCTCAAAGTTAAGTGGTCCAGAGGAGAAACAGCCCACTGAGGCATGAGGACTGGACACAAATCACTGAGGTTGTTTACTCGCGGTACAGATTATGAAGACTTTCTTAACTATAAAAAGGCATACAATTTAAACAACAGCACTTAGTTTAAATCCAGAACAGTAACTTAAAAACAAAATGTACCATTTTGCTCTTATATATAACATGTAATAATTCATTACTGTTATACTTATAATGACCTAATGAATATGGTAGTTCTTCACCATATACACGTCATTATATTAAAAACATATCTTAACATTAGTCAAAATCATGACTGTGTTACCACCAAAGAAAGTAATTATATTAATGTGCACTGGCAGTGGTGTCAGAATTATGCTTAGATGATTCATATTAGTTCATAAAAGAGCATCAGAATCTGTGACTGAAGTAGGGGGTGAGAATCTGTGTAACTGGCCTGTATTAGTTTTGGCAGCTGGATTGGACCTGTGAGTGATAAAACGGTAATTGTAGCATAGTATCAGCCCGAAACACTGATATTAGCATGTTACACCACAGTACCATTACATGGATGGAACATATGTCTTTTATTCCTGTTTAATTTTAACCAGATAAATGTCTGTGCAAGACTTATAAAACAGAAAACTAATGCAGGCACATTTGTATAGGTATCGTATCTATGCAT